ACATAGAGACCATTTAAAACCATATTCTAGATAACGCATTTCACTTCAGTATCATCTCATTGCGTTGTTGTCATCAACATAAAATACCGTTCGACCGCTACAGTCCCAAAGTCCCTAAGAATGTATGATGGATGTTTAGCGATATACGATAATGGGTATTTCTATTGCAAAATCATTGGCATCAATATTATTCGACCGCTAAATCATCCTGACATCCAATGCATGGTGGCTGTTTACAGACACCACTTTAGCTCCGCACTCCACCGCGCGTATCAGACGGTTGGTTAAAAATGGGCATTCTGTAGAAGGCCAGCTAACGCATTTCACGAAGCAAGTTATTGTTTAGCGGCGGAACCTAACGCTCCGCCGGCTGGCCAGCTTTACGGAGCCCTTCCGTGTCATGCACGCGGTAGTGTGCGGAGCTAAACTGGTATAAAATAAGGGCGAGTCAGGAGGTTTAGGTAGCGGCTACGCAGTGAAACGCTGTGAACGGCATTGTGCGGAAGCCAAATTCAGTCACTATAACCTCCCTGTTCATGTATTTGGGGGGGGGGAACACGCTCCTGGAGTAGCCAACGTATTCTTTATGGTTTTCTTCGTTTCCCTTACTTTTTTCCACGACAATGAATGATTAGCCCCATGAAGTCGTCAATGGCCCTATATACAAACAACGAAATTGAGCAATTGTTGGAAAACTCGAAAAGGAGCGATAATATGGTTGAAGCACGTGCACTACACCGATCACCTGACTAATTTTACCCCGAATTGCTACTGAGGGCCGAATTGCCTAGCTCAGCGGGCGGCCGCTTTGAGGATCTTCTAACCCACCTGAATAACTTACCCACTGACAAAATATCAATTCGGTTGGTCTTATGTGAAGCAGGCTGCACTGAATTTCTATGCTTTATTACCGTTTCCTTACATCTCACTACAGTACCAAGGGGAACGCGAAACAAGCCAAAAGGTTTTTCATTTCAATTTGAACAGGCGACTCATGTCTAAATGGGAACCACCAATACCAAGTATTTAATTCCATAATTTTTTCTATTTGCTATTTATACAAGCTCCTAGATAAGATCCCCTTTTCACTTTTTGCAGGATTTTTTCGCCGCTCGATCACTCGGCAAGCCGTTTACTACTGCAAGTTCGGTCAAAGTTGTGACATCGACATGTACATGCGACGAAAATGCCAGCATTGCCGCCTCGAGAAATGCATGCGAATCGGAATGAGATCAGAGTGTAATTTTTTACATTTTTATTTCGCTACAGTTTATATCTCACCGTCTGATTAGGCGTGCTTATGGATTTGGCGTGGCCTCACGCTTGATAAAAGCCGTGTGAATAAGCTCTCTTTGAACATACTCCACTGGATATCAGCAAAGCATGCTGGAAGCAGCTTATCCGACACAACTTATCTATCATCGGACCCACCGCATTAAATCGAGAGATAGCATTAGGCAGCAGGTCACCGTCACGCGTTGGACAATTTTCGAAATTTTACGTACACCCCTTCTAGAGGCTCGGATACACCCCGCCGCAGGCGTCACCTTCACCACCCTTGCCTTCATCCCCATCAGTGGCTTTTTCATTCATATAAGTATCGATTCAAGACAGTTGACACAGCCCAAATCCGCCCATTTTTGCCTCCAAACCCACCAGCGGTTGGAGAGGCGTAAAGAGGAAAATACCTAAACAAAAAAAAAGAAAAATTCACTTTTTTGTAACGTGGCAGCTTGGACACTAAATATTAACACCGTTGAACGGCCACATTTTAGCGCCGCAACCAAACTGCTCTCACTTCCCTTACTTTTCATTAAAGTACGTCGCAAAGGGATCGTATTTTCAAAAATGAAGGAGGAGTTGCGTTTAACAGGCTTTGCGACGACTCCGGCGAAGCTTTCATGAGACCAATGTGAAATATAATAAAATTCAGAGGATTTGCCATTTAATAGCATAACACTATTTATAATATTTATATCCCCGCCCGAGAACGGCCATCTGGCCGTTTGAGGGACAGCTGCCGATCAATGTTCTCAGAATCGAACAATGTAGAAAACAGTCATTTGATGGCCCAAGGTGTGGCACGAGTCGGAGAGGAGGCGGGGAGCGTTCCGGCAATCTCTGTAAGAGAGTGAGGGCGTGTTGAAACCCTAGAAGGAGATTGAAATCTTTGGAATCGAACACACGAACGGATTTCCATCCCAATGCCTATTATCTTTCATCTCCGAAGGGGATAACTCTACTGAGAGGACAACTGCCCTGACTTTTGTGCACCGTCTAGCCTTCCTAAGTCATTGTAAAGACCGAATCATGTTCATAAACCGCTACGGTACAATTAGGAACCAAATGTGGAACTGCTCCAAAAATTCAGCTCGAAAAGATTGACCAATTTCTCTGAAGTCACAGATTTCGCAACCGTTTAATACAGCACTGTTCTGTATTAAACGGTTGCGAAAAAAAAAAAGGCTGACCTATCCAAGTGCAGGTTGCTGCGCTCGAAAATGAAAGTGAATGACAATTGATACGGGCGCGTGTAAGAGAAGAACGCAACTGCAACATTCCTAAAGTGAGAGTGCGGTTTGACTCACCTTCTGCATGCGATTTAATTTGATCATGTGGGTGGAAACTGATGATAGATTACATTGCGCCTTCTTGTTGTCTGGGCTATTTTACTGTTTCTTGTGAAAAGAAGCAACGACCAACCAGTAAGAAGAGTGCGACCAACCCCGCCTATACTACCAGGATGTAATGTGCTATCAAGGGAAGCTTGCATATCCGCGTTTGTTCTTCATCTTTGGTCAACCCTTGACAACGTCCACTTTCATTTTTATATGCAACCAGTTTTGGTGCGCACGCAATCGCACGCACCTCACGGTAGGTTTATGAACTGGAGAACCTGTATCAGATCAGGTTCGATTAAGCGAATGTATCGTAGTAAGGCAGCTTAGTGAAACGTGTTTGTATTCTGCGTTACGTTACATTAGCCTATCATCTTATGCGCCGATCGCCACGAGGGAATTACATTACGATAGCTTGCGTGATGATGGCAATCCGTAGGAACATTCATCTTAGTTTCGTCTCTGAAGATGCTGGACTGAATTGGCCAATTATCGCCGGTACCTCCCGTTTGGATGCATGAACCGTTTAGCGTTGACGGAGATTTCCCGTGGTCATATCTGCCCCGTACAGCCTGGCTCATGCTCTACCCAGCCCGAAATTGACCCCTCTTTCCAGGTGACTTTTTAAGCAACAGTTCCAAAGACAACCACACTGTGTAGTATGATAAGCCCACATCGAGACTTCGCCTCCTCCTTTTGATCAGCTCGTTGTGGAGTGGCTATCGCTACGAGCATAGCGAGTAAAGTGAAAACGAGATTTTTCTTTTTCGATTATTATCACCTCAACTGTTGCTTTTCGTGTCATGGTCAATTGCCATCTTGCCCCAGATCGCCATCGCGTTTTTGACGCTTCCCGTGCAATTTTCAGAAGATTTCGTCCTAACACTCCATAGACTGTTTCACAAGAATGTGAACAAACTTTTGCAACCCCCCCCCGCCCCCGAGAGCGAACCACACCCCTTGCTTACCGAGCAAGCGCAGCGATCAAGCCGTACTGATGGTTTCGGTCTGAAATCGCCAACCAGCGCTGCTGATAAGAATGTGTTAGACGATCGACTGGCTGACAACAAGCCTGAATCGGCTTGTAGCTTTGATCGAACAAGGTTAGGGAGAACAAGCAAGCCAGCTATTTATAGAGTTACAGGAAGTAATCACAGTGGCCGGAGAACGGTGTGTGATAGGGCGAGCAGAGGCGTCTCACATACCTCTCTCCTCCCAACATCTGAGGTCAGTCAACCAGTGACGTGTATAACATCATAAAAATTGCACAGCCCTCGAGCCATCGCCTTCATTGTTGTAAAAGCGGATTTTAAGAAGAAAAAATAAGAGATGATTCGTTATGCACGAAAGTAGAAGTAACCGAGAAAATGACCTAGACCCCGAGAAGGGCACTAATTCCTTCCCCCTTGATTTGCGCACTAACTAGACTCTCGTCGGTGCTGCCTTCTTCAACGCTAGCGCTCTCTTTGCTAAATTGCTAGACTCAGATACGAGACGACGACTAGAGGAGGGCGCAATCGCGGCGCATGAAAGGTCGCCGAGCGGTATCCGTACGGTGAATAATTAGCACGTAAAAATCCGTTACCCTCAGAAGGCGTCGGCCTCGTTCTCGTTAGGGTGAGTGCCTTTCTCCGACCTTCTTCTATATGTAATACCCCTTGATAGACGAATGTGTTGTTAGGTAATTGAATATGAAAGCGAAAGGGAAGCAAAAAGGGGAACAGAGATATTTTGGATGAAGGTCAGGGTCAAACAATAGGTCAGTGTAAAGTCACAATTTGGTGAACACTGCGATTTCACTGAAATTAGAAGCATCGATTATTTGCACCGCCTATAAGCCATCTCATTGTAAGCGATCTCGGCGATTCAGTGATCCTCCTCCTGGTCAGTAATTGCACATACCTTTTGTATCTGGCAAACAGGTGCGTGTCCGCAGACTTCAAAACACAAGTGACTATACCCTTCACAAATGTTGGTTTTCTGTTCAAGAGATGATTATCCGGTTGCAGTTGTACTCTAGTAACAGGTTACAAGGCTTCTGTCAACCAAAGGGTGAGAGCGTAGCTGGAAAAGCACACACTTTGTGTCTTATTGGGACTAAGCCTTTTGAAGAAGATAAAGAAAGAGGGATGCTGTGATAGTGTGCACTTGTGAGAGCTCCCAGACATCACTACAAAACGCTGAACCGCCAAGGCTCCCGCGTTTGACAGATGTCCTGAGACCCTAGTAACCCTTTCTATCTCTCTCAATCAATTGTCTCCGATCCAGTCGCCCGCGTCTACAGAAAATTACTAGTTTATCAAAATCACTTGAAACCCTGAATGATGCCCTTGAAGCGAATATCAACGCTACGTCGGACACATGATCGCAATTCATGAGCTGATGAAAGATTAAATCAAATCCGCACTCACGACGTCTGAACTATATTGCTGCGTCCTGAGCAAAGGGAGAATCAGGTCGAAGGTGCTTAGTATGAATGTGACAAAACACGGCTAAGCAAACGGGAGAATCGAAAAATCACCACAATTCACAATATACTGCATTTTAGTGGTCATTCCGGAGGAGCAATGTCCGAATGAAGCGAGAAGCAAAACTTCGTCAGAGATCAAACCCTCGTGATGGTTCAGAGCTCCCGTCACCACTATCGGTCGAGGTCACGACACAAATCGTCAGTGAGCCTGTGGACCACGACATCTCTTCAGAAACCCGTGAACCTGATTTCTAGGATGACGTCGACTTCGTATAAGATCTCACTGGTCAGAGATGAAGCAATAATGGCTCTGTCGGCGAAGTCTTTATGCACTGCGTTCCTCATATTTGTAGTGCTACTGCGATCGATTCCTTCAGATGCACCAGTCTTCGTGCTCATCGGCTTTTCAACAATTGGCCGAGTTGACTATACTTGAGGCACAGTATGTGCACGAATTCGTGCGGCAATTGCCTGGTTTCTCCAGGCTGCAGGATGAAGACCGCAAGATTCTTCAAAAAGTATGTATTCACTTTCCATTCTCAGAGTAACGCTTGAATTCAAGAGTGTTGCCCATTCCCAGTCCATGCAGGTCAGACTAGGTGTGAGGTAGAATGATAAGAATGTCTGGATCTTGAACGTGAAGGTTGACGATTTGGGCATACTGAAAAACTGGTCTAGCTCAAAAAAACGCGGTAAGAGAAGGAGCTGAGGTGTGAAAACAGCTTAATTTGAGTAGTAGATCAATTTCGTGATGTTTTTAGCATTCTAAGACTGAAATCCTCCTGCTACGTTCGGCCAGAAGGTACGATGCAACGGAAAGATGCTTACTACTCGGCAACGATCGGCATTCTTTCAGGTAATTTATTCCTACGGAAGCATGTTTAGGAGGAAAATCATGAGCTTTTTTACGACAAGTCTGACGAGTTCCGACCACTGAGCTCATGTCAAGCGGTCTCCATAGTTGAAAGTCTGTTACCCGAAGCCCTTCCATTTCGAGAGCTGCTGTTGACTTTTGAGAGCTGCGGTGGCCTTTTAGCAGCTTCCTTGAGGCCATCATAAACTTCAGAATCGTGGCTGACCTACCGTCCCACATTGAAAGCGAAGCTTACGGTGAGGAGACGGGCCATCAGAAGGTCGAGGTGAACATGCATGAAAAAAAGGAAAAACGGCCGAGACCCGAGAAATTTGACCCTCTTCTTGTCCGCTGACTTCCGCGTAAGGCGTGCCTCATCGGTAATGCCCTCATCGGAGCTAACCCTCTCTCTGCTAGAGTGGCTAAGATCAGATGAAGAGGGATCAGCCAATCTGTGTGAGTGCAGCGGCGGGAGCGTCGCTGGTACTGTCCCGCTAAGGCGCTGGGGACCTACCCTTTGCTACGAAACGCGCACCCGCCCTTTGCTCTAAAGAGACTCGCCTGTCTTTCCATGTCCATTCCCTACTTCGACCTACGACGTTGTCGTGAATTCTCCTTCGGAGCGCAGCCTGAGATGAGGTCGTGTCGATAATTTATTCTGTGAGTAGGATAGGGTAGCCCATAAGTATCACGGATGTGCCGTTGTCGCCGCTCGAAAATGCGCGGCAATGGCGCTAAGGCCTTACAAAGTGAGCTAATGACGGCTAATGTGGGCTGATGGACGAGATACCTCGTGCACACCCTATGACACTCAACGTGGGTTACGACGTAGCGCTACTTTAAATACATGCAGGTTAGTGGAACCATGGAGCAAGCAAGTCCAGTCAACCCATCCTACACGATCCCTGAGTATTACGGCTAGGGGGCGGGGAGGTAGATTAGAGGCAGTACTTTGTTCAAGGGCGTCATCGGCACTTTGCTTTGCTTCTCCCTTCATTTCCAGTCAACTCGACATCCACAGTTTCCTTATACGACCACTGTCCCCACAGAGCAGGGTGAATAACGGTCGAGGATTTCCTCGACCATAGCTCTCTACCATGCGAGAGTAGTGCCGAGAGTGAACATCCGCGCGGAGAGCACAGACGGCACGGCATGGCGAGTGTGAATGTCCGCGCGAGAGATCGTCTCTGATCGGGCAGAGAATCCTCGACGTGCCGTTGAGGAATCCTCAAGCGATATTCACCCTGCTTCCCCAATAGTTCGAATTGCGCGGTCTCTTCAAATGACGTGTTTAGGCGTCAAACGCACAATATGAATTGTTGTCTGTCTCTCTCGGCCTCTTGCAGGCCCTTCAATCTCGGTTTCGCTTCATGGGCTTTTTTTTTTCTAGCAACGTACATATTGGACTTTATGGCCAAAATGATAGTTCACTTAACGGTTATAGCATTTTGGCTGCCGGACCGCTGAGTGCTTTTACTTTCGACGACAGCCAAGCTATGGTTATGTCTAAGGAATCCAAATTAATAAGATTTATGCTCGAAATCCCTTTTCGCAATAAAAACGACTGGTAATTGCAGGTATGATCGACGTAGGTACTGCGAAGCTGGAATGGCCCCATATGCCGATTTTGTGTTTGAATTAGCAAGAAGAATAATTGAGCTATCACCGGATCCGACAGAGATGCTCCTTATGGAAGCGATTATTGCCTTCTCTGGTGAGACTTTGCTCGACTTTGCTTATCTTATGAGCCTTTTGATCGTTTGTATGATTCGTCAAGATATTTACAAGGACCACGTTAGATCAGTAATCTAATGAGCGATAAATCGCTCTGAGGTTGTCGAGGCGACATGCCATACATTATTGTTGGGCGGAGTTACTTTTTGAGTGGTGATGTGAGGGGTACCTTGATAAATGCCTGATAAAATGGGGAAAAACCTTGATTCCCTGTCCTAAATGCAATTTGGAATCGTTCTTTTCATAGGCGTGATGACATGTGTCAGTTTGCTTCACCATACTGCGGAGGTGGATTGGATTGGCCAACGGTTGTAGTTCTCGCACGTGCACAGAGTCAAGGTCCCGATAGAACGCGTCAGACAACCTCGTCATTACATTCCTGCCTCCGAAGATAGAATGGATACGAATAATTGCTGTATTAGATTTGCTGGGAGAGAGCTGTCGCGGGGGCAGTGTGAAGGCGGATACAGAACACGCACTGATTTGCACTCGGACTGAACAGCGCCTATTTGGTTGGGTCCCAAAGTCGTAAAAAAAAACCTCAACGATTCCTGAGTGAAATAAAAGGCGTTCGGCGCACCCTTGAAAGGCCTGCATCAATGCTGAATTGGTTGCGAGGCTGCTTAGATAGGTTACGATCATAACATGGAAAATAAAATGCATGGCGCATCCCGAAAAAGACCTGATCTGCGTCGAATGTAGTGCGATTAGCTTTTATGGTTCGATTACAACTTGAGGTAAATTTAGAGCGACCCGGACTACAAGACGTGAGAAAGGTGGAGGAAACCCAAGAGGTGTACGTCGATGCTCTGCAGCAGTACATCGATGCGAAGAGCTCCCCGAATCTATCATTTCACCACTGCCTCATCACCGTGCTCTCCGACCTGCGCAGATTTTGCTCTGAACATGTAAGTCTTTGAGATCTTTCCTCTGGTACTTGAGTCACCTAATTTATTGTTAATATCCTTTTTGTATGGGTCACATCAGAGTGGATGCGGTGTTATGCCAAGTGGCCCACTTCCGACTCCCACGATCAAAGGGTCAAATCTCACAACCACCCTCAGTCCATCCAGGCCTTCCATTTCTAGTTCCTTCGGAGTCGGTTAATTGGTACCAGACTTGTCTGAAGGATAAAACTGACTTGTACATCGGCTGGCCCCCGCAAGTCATTGTATAGGCCACATCGCATTCAAATGCCACTACGAATGTACAAATGGAAGTAGAATGCGTGCCGCATCCCAAAAAGGGATTGAACAACGGAAAGCCTTTATCCTGTTTTTGATCATGGTGACGCTGATGTTTAACTCTATAGAACTGCTCTGAGATTCGTAAATTCACATAATGCTTTTCTTTTTCTATGTAAAAATTCAGGCCTAGAAAATTGATTTCACGGAGTGGTTATATTTATAAGGGCTAAAATACTTTTCTCACTCCTAATATCGGGGGGATGCTTTGCTTTTTTGCTTATTGTCATGCTCATTTGCATCGCTGCTTTAGAAACCACCACCCCACACAACAGAGGTCGCTGAATAACAATAACATATTAGGCAGGGCAGCCAACAGAAGCGTTGGGAAGGGTGAAGTGGGTATGAGGCTTAAGTTCCGCCCC